CTGCTAATGTGGAATAATTTCAAGTAGTTATTGAGCACAACAGTTAAAATGGGATATTACATATTTTACCAGAAGATTTGAATAAATAAAAAACAAACAATGATATTGGTTCTGCATAGAATATTTCTGGACAGTTACATAAAACCTGCTAACATACTTAAAAACTACTTGGAGGGCTTTTATTTTTTTACTTGTATTGTATTTATTTACATGTAATGAAAACATGTTATAGTGACATTAATATTACGATGCATTAATGTTTTCTTTTTGTAATTTTTAAAAAAATAAAAGTGCGATTTTTACTTTCAATTTCCAACCAATTCTGATTTTCGTAGTAATTTTGTGATATAGTTTTGTCAAATTATTAATGAATATTGTTCAATAGTGAACTATTGAATTTATCTAAGAAGGCTTCAATACAAAGTGAAGTCTTGAAGAATGTTACAATCTTGAATTATTAACTACTTTTTCCTTGAGAAAAAACAAAGTATAGCAATGATTAGTTACAGTGCTAAGATCCTCATATAAAGTTTTCATTTTGGAGACTTGCAGTTAGTTAAGATAAATAATGCCATTTAATTCTGAAGAAGTGAATGTATACCACATTTGGGGACAATGAAGGTTATTCTTTTTTTATGGTGCATTTTAATACTCATCAAGTTCATTCCAAAGGAATTATGCCAAACACATTAATAGTATAAATTGGTGGCCAAGATTGAGTCTATTATTCATTATAAGAGCAAACTGATTATTTTGGCAGGATTTCTTCTCCTGAAGGCATTTTTTAGGAGATGATTGATAGGATTATTTATGTGCACAGACATGTTGACTTGAATAATATGAGAACCATTCAGATTGGTTCAATATTATGAATAATACAATCCTATAAAATTAGGTGAAATCACCTTTCTACTCATCCAAAGAGGTGGAGTTTCTTTGTAATTTTAGATGAAAATAAGTCTCATATCTGTAATATATATGGAGTGTTTAATTCATGAGACAAAATCTATTCTAATTCAAATGATTTTAAAGACTGCATGCATACCATATACTCTACATCAGCATTGA